TTAATTAAGTTTTATTATTATAATTATATCATTTTTACAATTGAGGTCTTCTTAAACGACCTACGTATAGAATAAAGGAGGTTAAATTAAAAAAAATAATAATAATTTTTTTTTTTTTTTAATTTTTTTTTTACAGTTAAATTATTGCATTAATATTTCTTAGTTAATAAAACCAATATAATGTACCAAAAATGTTATTATATCACTTTAACTAAGATTTATGTGTACTGAATGGTGTGGTAGAGGCCTGTAGGCATCCACGCCAGTACCGCTTTCCTGCCGCATAAGTGTATTTTCTACAGAACTGCTTCAAATATTTTAAAAAGTAATCAGCGTTTTAGAATGAAAAATATATTCTCCAGATGGTTTATTTCAGCACGTTTTGCGTTATTGTAGACCGCTTAATTACAAACGACCCTTGATTTGTAACTTGAAAATTTTGTTGTTAAAAAAATTGACTTTACTGGTGTTTTTCATAGCCGAAGCCAATTATTTTTTTATATTTCTTCATGTTTTATTATTCTATGACTATTCAGCTTTAATAAAAGACCAACTATGAGGAAATTAAGCCAAATGCTGATTCTCAGTGACCAAAAAACTAACTAAAGTCAAAGTCGTCAATCCGCCATCTTTGGAAGCCATTTTGGGGCAGTGCGTTCACTTTTTTTTGTGGGAACATTGGCTTTTTTTTAATAAATTGTCACAAGGAACACAACTATATGCAATTTATAGGGATGTGGGGGGGGGGGGGGTGCACGGTAATGGGGTCTGGCCCACCGTGTATTGAGGCATTATATTTATTGTTGTTGAAGACAATTTAACCTTTGTAGAGGCTGAGTGTACCTGACAGAAATTTCATTTTTATGTTCTTTTTCATTTTTAACAATTAATCGGCCTTAAGACATTATATTTACTGCTGTTTGAGATACTTTAATCTTTGTAGAGGCAGAGTGTGCCTGACAGGAATTCTGTTTTCTTATGCTCCTTTTCGTTTTTTATAATTAGACGGACTTGAGGTATTACATTTACTGCTGTTTGAGACACTTTAATCGTTGTAGAGGCTGAGTGCGCCCGACGACTATTTAATTTTTTTTTTTTTTTTTTTATGCCTCTTTAAGTTTTTTTTGCAGTTAGATGGATTTGAGACTTGAGATAAATAGGAAAACAAACAAATACTTATCGATCGGGCATACTCAGCCTTTAAAAAACTTTAAACTGCTCAAACAATAGTAAATGCAAAACTGTATTTCCTGGGCGTCGCAGAAGAAATAAATAAATAGATAAAGAAAAGGAAATGGCTAACGAGCACACTCATCATTTAGGAAAACTTTAAATCACTCAAACTATAGTAAATTTAAAACTGTATTCTCTATGAGTAGCAAAACTAAACGACAAGGCAAAGAAAAATAAATTTCTGTCTGGCACACTCAGCCTCAACAAAGGTTAAATTGTCTTAAACAACAGTAAGTATAATGCCTCAAGCCCGTCTAATTGTAGGAAACAAAAAGGTAACATAAGAAAAAATGAGATTTCTGTCGGGGGCACTTAGCCCTCTAAAAAGATTAGTGTCACAAACAGTAGTAAATATAGTGTCCCAAATCCGTCTAATTGTAGGGAACAAAAAGGGAACATAAGAAAAAATGAAATTTCTGTCGGGTGCACTTAGCCCTCTAAAAAGATTAGTGTCACAAACAGTAGTAAATATAGTGTCCCAAATCCGTCTAATTGTAGGGAACAAAAGAAAAAATGAAATTTCTGTCGGGTGCACTTAGCCCTCTATAAAGATTAAAGTGTCTCGAACAGCAGTAAATATAGTGTGTCTCAAGTCATTCTAATTGTAAAAAACGAAAATGAGCAAAGAAAAAATGAAATTGCTATGGGGAACACTCAGCCTCTACAAAGGTTAAAGTGTCTCAAACAGGAGTAAATATAATGCCTCAAGTCCGTCTAATTGTAGAAACAAAAAGGAACCATAAGAAAAAAAAAAGTGAACAATAGGATTTTTATTATGGTTATTCCAATACCCTTTGCATCTATCAGAATGATTATTTCAGAACATATTTCTGAAATAATTATGTCATTAATCCTGAAATAATTTATTTCGGAAATAATGCTAAAGTTATTTCATATATATATACCAGAGCCGTGTGTAAAAGAATTATTTAGTTTTTCATGGAAACCTGTTATAATTTATTACACATATATTGTAATAATAACTTTCTTCATTAATTATTACAAATGAACATAATTAGAAATCTGAAACACAATTATCAAAAAACTACATATTTGTGTGATAAAAATTATAGTATAATGCTGTAAAAGTTGTGTTAGTGCTTTGTTAGTTAGTTTTCACTTAATACTTTAACAACCACAGCAGGCGTATACACCCATTCACTGATTTACCCAAGAGACCACAGCGGGCATATACGCCTGCCATTGAGATCTCCAAACAAGCTTGTTTTTGTTTAAATTTCAATAAATAATCGAAATATGATTATATGCATTTAAAAAATAACTACCAAGGGTAAAATAAGAAAAAATTTTAATATCCCTATAGACAATGGAGGGTGTAAACGCCTGCTCAGTTTTATATATATATTTATAGTTAAACTAAAATTTAATAATAGAAATTAATAAATATGAGTGATATAATAAAATGTATAACTGAGCTATTTTTAATGTGGAACTTTTTTAGATAAGAAAAAAATTTGTAAATATAAAGAAAAATATAATTTGAAACCTGCCGTTGATGTCCTTTTTATAGAAATATTATTTAATTTTTATGATCACTTACAGTTATTTTGCTTTTCAGAAATGAGCAAATACGCCAGAAAGAGAAGTATTGCGGGTTAGCTGCTTTTATTTTGCATTGCTATGTGCAGGCATACATCCCGTTTTTTAAAAGTTTATTAAAAACGTTAAAATGCATTTTTGAAAGCTAATATCCTGGGGATCCTACACTGTGACTCAAATTAGCATTTTAAATAATTTTATGAAAAAAAGAAAAATCTGTTTTGTTGGACGTCTTTGTGAATTTCAGGATGCAACATATGGTAGAAACTTGCGAATGAGCTACCACAGTCAAAGGGTTAAAGACCATTTTATAAGAAATATAGATTGGTAGCTGGAGTATTTTTTACTAAAATCTTAATTTTTTTTTTAAATTAATAATTGTTGTTGAAGCATTATTAATTTGGTTTTAATTGTTTTATCTTTTCCCGTGTTTCTTCATTCTAATCACTATTATTTTATCTAATTCCTAGCTTTGTTATAAATATATTTTGTAATTATTGTGCTTAATTACCTGAAAAAGACCAGAGGTCGTAATTGTGAAAATATTTCTTTATTTCAATATCCAGTGAATTATAGAACCTAAACATTATGTATAAGTTGATTTACATTGGGATCTATATTCATTAATAATAAAATGTGAAGGTATTGGTGAAAATTTGTTGCCTTCTTAAATGATAGGTAATTTATATCTAAAGATAGTCTGGAGATAGGTCACCTATGAACATGTTCGACACACTCTGGTATTTTCAGCATTCCATCCATAGTGTGATCATGGATAACCTGCCATCTGTGCAGAGCATATGTGAAGTAGTAAGGTATGGGGGAAAATATTTTGTATCCTGATATTGTGGGTTATTTATATCTCAGGAATGTCTGGATAATGATCAACTCTGTATAAGTTCGAACACATTAAGCAACTTTCAGCATTCCGTGTAGTGTGATGCTGGCCCACCTGCCACATGTGCAGAGAAATGGTGAAGTATTTTCCTTAAATGATAGTTAATTTATATGTAAAGAAGGTGTAGAGACATGTCTGCTCCGACATATATTCGGACATACCCAAATACTGACAGCATTTCATATACAATATGATCATTGGTGACCCACCATCTGTGTAGACCACTTGTGGGGGGTAGGGGTTTTAGGGTGATCAACCGCAAGATTATTACAATCTTGTGGAGTAGTAAAGTATTGGGAAAAATATTTTGCCTTCTAAAATTATGGGTTATTTATATCTCAGGAATATCTGGAGAATGATCCCCTCTGTATAAGTGGGGATACAGTAAGCTACTTTTGGCATTCTACATACTGTATGATCCTGGCCTACCCACCACATGTACAGAGCATTTGTGAACTAGTATAATAAACTTTAATTTATAGCTGCTTCGAAAATCTATGTGCAATGATCGTTAACTGTCATAAATTCCATGAAGGTTTATATACTATTAAAGATTACTAACTGGTTAATTGAACATATAATAATAAACTAAAAACTAACAAAAAGCATTTATGGAAAGTAAACTGACAATTTTTTAAAACTGGAAATAAGTTCAGTAAAACTTAAATACACGGTACTATAATTTACATTAAGTATTAAATTAAAAATAAAAAAAATATATATACAAAAATAATTACATCACTTCAGTTTTATTTTAAAAATGTATTAAATGTTGGCAAGGTCACAAATTGCATTACACTTTTTTTTTTTTACAATACTGATATCACATCAATATTGTTTCTTTGGAGGAATTACTACATATAAAACTCGGCAATATCAAAATATTACTAATAACATATACATTAAATGGACACAGAGAACATAAAATTTCAACATGCATACAATACTTTATCAGTATGGCAATAATGATAACACATGACAATACGTTTCATCCATACAATTTTAACAGACAGCTGTATATCAATCTCAATTTTACCCAATATGGGAAGAAAACAGAATACAAAAATTACTTAACCTGGAACAAATTACAGGATAAACTAACTTTTTTTAACAATAAAAAACATGGTTAAAGCAGTCCATAATAAAATCTTATAAAATAAATTTCTAGACAACATATTACAGTATTCATAGAAAACATTTATTGGATTACCAAATAAATTTTAAGAAATCACGGTTTAATTAAAGACTCTTGTGCAACTAATGTCCATGCAAACTGTTTACAGCTTTCACACAATAAGCTTGAACATACCTTTTGTTCATGATGGTGTTTTACGGACCTTATAGATCCAAAAAATATTGGAAATAACGCCATCAATATCAAACTGCCATAGGCCACGGCCATTCCTTCAGGAGTAGCTGGTATTTTACCAAGAGTCTCATTTTTAACGTCAGTTAAGTTTTCAGACATAATATTACTCAGTTCTTCCGCGCTGGACATGCTGGATGATCAAACTGTACACATGTACAGATGTAAATAACGACAGTTATCAGTGAACACAGTGTAACCAACCCAACAAAATAAAATTTACAGTAATATCAAATTGATTTCATACCTAGATGAAAATATAACCATTAATTTCTAGTCACGATATATATGGGTCACTTCAAAATTTCGGTGAAATTTATTTCACTGGTCAAAAAATAGCGTAAAATCACAACTGAATGCAGTAAAATAATTTCTTCACATGATCTATCCTAATTAACATACTTCACATTCATAGTTTGGTAAAATTTGTAATTATATGACCCAGTAAAAAACATGTTAAATGCTGTTTTTTTAGTCTTTGAAGGCCCCTTGCACGGTCAATATTATTGAAGGAATATAATTAAAAGAAATACATTGAAAGCGCCCTTCACACTTTTCAATTGTTTTGAGTCAGTTATGTTAGTATCCAAAGAAGTAAATACGGTTTTTCATTTTTCTGAACATGAATAGTGAATTTTATATAACTTTAATTTCCTTGGCTATGATGTTAAGTAAAAGGAGTATATAATAAAAATAGCTTTCTTTATTATTGTATAATTAGCTAAATTTGATTATAATTAAATTCATTAATAATAATTTTCAGAAATAAATTATTATTATAATTATAATAATAAATTATTCAATGTAATTTTTTAAATTATATTCCTTCAATAATATTGACCGTGTAAGGGAGCTTTAAAGACTAAAAAATCAGCATTTAACATGTTTTTTACTGGATCATATAATTACAAATTTGTCAAAAATGAGAAAACTTCTCAAATTTTTTCATTAGAATTTCTGTATTATACGAAAGTCATTGTTGAAGAACCGAGAAGACGCAATGAAATCGTCCAATGCAAGCCGTGCCAATCCTATGGACACACGAAATCATATTGTAATTTAAAGCCGAGATGTGTGAAGTGTGCCGGATTACATCTGACAGCGAGCTGCAAAAAACCTCTAGACACTCCGGCTAAATGTGTCCTCTGTGAAGAAGCACACCCAGCGAACTATAGAGGCTGCTCTATACACAAGGAGTTAAAGAAACTAAGACAGCGCCTAGCAACGAGAAGTCTTGCATTTTATGAGGAATAGAGGGCGAGTCAGCCTACTAAGAAAGAAAAAGAAGACTCCTCGAAAATCGTCCAGAATTCTGCAGGTAATCTTGAGCCACCGTTATAACTACGACCCGACTATGTACAGACACAGAAGATTGCTACAGAACCAACTTACTCCTATAAATTGACGAGACCAAATGACACACTGGAACCTAGCCTTCAAACAAATAACATCTCAAGGCATTACAACACAACTGACAAACTTCATAAACGAATTCAAAAACCTTGTTTCACCCCTGATATCATTGCTTACATCGCTAGTACAGCAAGCATTTTCCAAAGCTTACCAAATGAAAGGACTAAGAGTAATTCTTTGAAATGTCAACGGTGTATTATCTCGTAAAAATGAACTCGAAATTTTTCTTAGTTATAACGACATAGGCATTGCTTTAATGACTGAGACTCACTTAACAAGAAATATTAGGTTTCACATACCGTCTTACATCACTTATCGGACTGACCATCCTTCAAATAGAGCTAAGGGAGGTACTCCCATTCTCGTTAAGAACTCAATCAGTCATCATTTCAATGCTTCTGAGGCCTGTGAGAGTTATCAATCCACTTCAATAGTGGTTAATATATTCCATTTTAATCTTACCATAGCAGCTATATATTGCCCTCCTGGTAAGAATTTATTAATCCAAACATTTGACCAGTTGTTACATTCTTTGGGCAACACATTTTTATGTGACGGTGATTACAACGCTAAGAATCAGGTATGGGGCAGTAGAATCAGTAACTCTAGGGGCAGAGCCCTTCAAAATGCGATTCTTGCTGAGAATTTTAAATGCTTATACTTCTCTCTTCACCGACGTATTGGCCCACGGATGCTAACAGGATTCCTGACGTTTTGGATTTTTTCATTACCAAGGGAATAAACATACATCGTTGTGCCATTACTAATCTGACTGACTTATCTTCAGATCACTCCCCTCTTCTTCTAAGGTTAGACTCAAAACCTATTACCAAATCTACTCGACCGTCGCTAACACCTGGAAAAATTGACGGGAACAAGGTTAGATCTTCCATTGAAAATTCATTATCACTGAACACTAATATAAGAACGCCCGAAGACTTGGACGACGCAGTTCATCACCTCACACAAACAATACAAAATTCAGTATGGACTTCTAATATCTCCAACAAAAAAACAGACAAACATGACCATAATTACATTTCACCGGAGATAAGACATCTTATCGTACAAAAACGAAAAGCTCGTAAGATATGGCAAAGAACTCGTTACCCATCTGACAAACACAAGTTTAACAAACTAGCTCGACAACTTCACGATGAAATAAGAAGTTGAATGACAGAAAATTTTGATAACTTCTTGAATGATTTAGCAATTTGTGAGAAACCACTTTGGAATATAACCAAACGGATTCTACAGCATCATGATGTCTCATATCCTCTCAGACATCATGATGGCTACTGGACAAAGTCAGATGCTCAAAAAGCGCAATTGTTTGCTCGCCACCTCGAAGAAACATTTAAACCTCATAATGACATAAATGACATACTCTCTACTACAATTGTTCAAAGTCACCTTAATGTACCCTTACCTATGACATTACCTCCAAAATCAATTCATCCTTACGAAGTTCAAAATTTAATTCAGAGCTTACCTATGAACAAAGCTCCGGGATTTGACTTAATTACGAATTTCGTCATAGAAAAATTACCTTGGAAAGCAATTCTTTTTCTAACAAATATATACAATTCTATTTTGAGAATCACACATTTCCCCACCCTCTGGAAATATTCTGAAGTTGTCATGGTCTTAAAACCAAATAAATCCTTAGACTCTCCAAATTCCTATCGTCCGATCAGCCTTCTTTCTTCCTTTTCTAAATTATTTGAAAAAACTATTCTTCGTCACCTTGATTCTCTCGATATATTTAAATGTCTTCCAAATCAATAATTTGGCTTCAGAAAGCATCATTCAACTGCTCAACAATGTCATCGATTGGTAAATTACATTTCTAATTCTTTAGAATCCAAAAATTATTGCCCTGGAGTTTTTCTTGACATTAGTCAAGCCTTTGATAAAGTTTGGCATGAGGATCGCTTTCCAAACTTAAAATTTTACTTCCTCCGACCTACTATCTAATATTACTTTCATATCTAACGGATAGACATTTTGTATTAAAAGTAGGGACAGAACGGTCTGACATTAAACCTATTAAAGCAGGAGTACCTCAGGGTAGTGTCGTTGGACCAATATTATTTAATATATATATGTCTGACCTACCGAAACACAATGACACAATACTGGCTACTTTTGCAAACGATACCGCAATCCTAAGCTCAGATAAAAACCCTGTTCGAGCATCTACCACTCTTCAAAATCATCTGAACGATATTGCAGATTGGGCCACAAGGTGGAAAATTAAGATGAATGAAAAAAGTGTGCATGCGATATTCACTCTTAACCATAAATCTTCACCTGAAATATATTTTAATAACATTGAAATTCCAACATCAGACGTAATTAGGTATTTAGGTTTTTACCTGGACAAAAGACTTACTTCGAGGACTCACATCAGACAAAAACGAATAGAATTAAACAGATGATATGGTCTTTTATCCAGATTACTTGACAGACGTTCAAAATTATCTTTAACTAACAAACTAACCCTTTATAAATTTTTACTTAAACCTATTTGGACTTACGGCATAGAACTGTGGGATTCTAGTAAAACTTCTAACATTAAAAAAGTTCAGTCAAAAGTGTTGCGAAGGATAGTTGACGCACTGTTTTATGTCGCAAATGATACACTACATAAAGACTTAAACGTATCTACAATTTTAGATTCTGCAAAAGAGAAATACAATAACGTTCACAAAAGACGGACGTACAACATGAATCCCCTGACCGAAATTCTTCATCGTACAAGAAACCCATACAGCCCACAACGACGATTACGTAGGCGTTGGCCAAGAGACCTGCTGAACTGATTTATATCCCGGACGTCATGGGAAGCTGTGAAGCTGCCAAAAAATTTGCAGATTGCAAATATAATCAAATGTTCTACATTTTTGTTTCTTTAATAAATAATAATAATTTTCATAAATCTACCAATAAATCATTTATCATTAGTTTATTTTTAATCACGAGCATATTATGAGAATATTTCAATATTCAATGAATTTTATATTTGATTCACTGTATAAGGTACCTTTAATAATTGTGTGATTTTTAAAGGTGGGTTTAAAAATTTCACAAACTATAGGAATAACAAATATATAAATGAAGAAAGGTAAGTTGTTTTTTTTTTTCTTCTCTCTGTCTTGCCTTACAGGCAATACGTTTGTGCAGTGAGGTATTACATGGGGTATATGCTGGAAGTACAGGCCTATTTTCTTAAAATTTGTTAAGCATTTATTATTTATAGTTGTTATTGCGGAAACTGTAGTGTAGACTTGTGATGGCTGTGCAAAAGCCCACCCCTTTTCCTTTTCTCCATTTTTCCTCCTTTTTCCACCTGTAGCCGGTCCTCGAAGCAGCTGCTGCTTGTCTGAACTTCCTTCTCTTCTTCCCAGATTAAAATGTGTAGGGCCTACAACATCTTCCCACCCGTATACGAATTCCCTATAATGTTGGTAATTCTCTCTGCTCTGGAGGAACATGCTCTCTGTCAGCGTATATATCCCCGTCTCTCTCAGAAGCTTAGCTCTTAGTATCTCATAGGCAGTGCATTCGAGGATAACGTGTTCGACGGTCCCCGAGCTGTTGCAGTTGGGGCATAGCGGATCAATATTATTTCCAAGCATACTCTTGTCACGTTTTTAGACTTTCAACAAGCGTTTGATAAGGTTTGGCATTGTGGTCTATTGTACAAGCTAAAGAAA